TAAAAGTGACAAAGTTTCCTCTTTTTTGGTTGGGTCTTTGAAAATCAAAGTGAGAATGGTCTGAGATGACTCACTGCCAGTATCTCATACAGCAATCCTTTCTTCAATTGAGGTCTGTAATTATAAAATAACTGGTTTGGGGAGGCAATAACACACTGTAGCCATGAATACACTTAGAAGACAGACTAAGTATTTTATTTCTTAGATCTTAAGGAATTCTAGGCACCAAACTTTTCATTTTCCATCACACATGGCATATGACTTCTTAACTCATACTGGGCGCCACTGGGTGCTACTTCACTGACCCATTTTCCTTATGGGTTGTGGTCTGCACTTACAGGATCAGATCAACAGTACTCAGAACTGCATGACTACAAGAAAAGCCCCTCTAAACATATCTAACCTGAGTTAGGACAGGGGTTTACCTTCCCTTATTCAGGTGTCCTGGAGGGGTACTGATTTGTTTGGGGATGCCACCTGTGATTAGAGAACAAGATCACTCCTGCCTTGATTTTAAAGCAGCTTAAAATATTCCCTCCGTGGGCACCAATGACTAACTTCCACATGGTATCACAGCACAGGAGTCAAGCATCTGGTAAACACCGAAAAAATACAACAGGTCAGGCAGGGGGTTAGGTGCTGCTGATGCACACATGAGCAAGACACTAAGTGGCCAACCCAGGGAAGGTGTTCAATGTGCAAACAATCCTCACAGAACTCAAGTGCTGTAGCAGTTGTGGGTACAAAATGTTAGAAGAGCACACAGAGGAGGCAGTGACTAATTCTGCCTGAGGACAGTCATCACGGTGTGTGGGGTGATGGAGAGCAGTAGGAGGTAAAACTAGAAACAGCCAGATTAGGGGCCCCCAGTCCACTTGCCATTAGTCACATTTTCCTTGAGCAAGTGCATTCACTTCCAAGGCTTCAACAACTACCCCCACAATCGACAACTTCCATATCTGAAATCTCAGTCCCATCTCTCTCAATTTCAGGCACATGTCCTAATCTACCTCAGAACATCTATGTATGTCTCAGAGGCACCTGACAACCAAATCCGTCACTCTTACCTCCCCAGCCTTCTTCCTTTATTCCCATCCTCAGTTTCCAGTCTGCGTCCAAACTACAACCTCACTGCCATCCTCTACGCCTCCACTCCTCACCTCCAAGTGGCCACCTAGGCCTAGTCAATCCCTCTTCTAAAATCCCTCTCAAACTTCCATTCTTCTCTGTCCTTCCATTCCCTCTGTCCAGCCCTGCAGCTTCCCACATTCCAACTACGAAAGCCACAAAACTAGTCTATCTACTCCCAATTCTGTTCCTGCTCATTCACTCCACACAACAGATGCATGGCACTATGAGTACTGCAGCAAACAAGACATATAAAAAGAAAGTGCCTGGGGCGCCTGGGTGGCTCAGTCGTTAAGCGTCTGCCTTCGGCTCAGGTCATGATCCTGGAGTCCCGGGATCGAGTCCCACATCGGGCTCCCTGCTCAGCGGGGAGTCTGCTTCTCCCTCTGACCCTCTCCCCTCTCATGCTCTCTCTCTCTCTCTCATTCTTTATCTCAAATAAATAAATAAATCTTTAAAAAAAAAAAAAAAGAAAGTGCCTGTTTTGAAGCTTTCTGTTCGTTCCTTCTGGCCAATTTCTTTTTTAAAATAAATCTGGGTGGCTCAGTCGTTAAGCGTCTGCCTTCGGCTCGGGTCATGATCCTGGAGTCCTGGGATCAAGTCCCACATCGGGCTCCCTGCTCAGCAGGGAGTCTGCTTCTCCCTCCGCCCTTCACCCTGCTCATGTTCTCTCTCAAATAAATAAATAAAATCTTAAAAAAAAATGAATTTGGTCATGGCACATGCTGGCCTCAAGTCTTCAGTAACCTCTCACCACCTACACAACAAACTCCTAGCATGCTGCACAGGCTGTTCAACATCTGGCAAGTCTACCCTTCCAGCCTCTTGTTCTGCCATCCAGGCACACCCCTGTTCTTGGAACTGCATGTTTCTTCAGGCTTTTGCCTTGGCAAATGTGACTTCCTGTACTGGAACATTCCTTCGTCATCTCCCCCTTGAGAATTCCTACCCCAGAGATTCTGAGTTCCCATACCCAAGCAACCATGGCACTCATCACATGGTATAGGAATTGTATTTAGAAGTCTGCTCCTCCCATCTGGTTATGAGCTCCTTAAAGGACAGGAACTGTACCACAGGGGAGTCTACCCTCATAGCAGGTACTCTCAGTAAGTCTTGATTTGAGTAAAAGCAAGGAAGAAGTATATCCATCTAGAAAGGTTAAGAAGCAAAGGTCAGGAAAATTGGGAGAGGGAGCTCAAACTTCACCTGATGGCCTAAGTACTTATTGTGTGAAGTACTTTGGTACTTCTCTGGGCTCTGAGAACAGAGCTTCCTTTAGAGGCATGTTTCCCAAAGAACATCTTTAACACCATGAGGCAGGGAGCAGGACCCTCCCTTTTCAACCTTTTTGATGTTTCACCACGAATGTGGTGACTGGTCTCACTTTAAATTCATGACCACTAAGTCCAAGTGGGTCCTTAATGCTAACTGGCAGCTCTACATTTCTCTTGCTCACTCGCTAGACTAATTCATGTCTTTCCTCTCTCTTCATGCTCATTCTGCTTAGCTGAGCCTTCTCCCTATTTCACTGAGAAAACAACCAAAAGACCTTCCCCACGTTCCCACCACGCCTACTCGAGTCAGTACTCATTTCTGTTGCCATTCACACTGTTAACTAGTGATAGACCGCGCTCCTAGCTTAGGCTAACCTCTCTCCACTTCGGCAACAGACTCCATTCCTTCTTGCTTACTAAAATCACTCCAGGAATTATATCCTGTCTCCTGCTCCACCAATTTTTTTCCCTCTCTTCTAGACCATTTTCACCAGCTTACAAACATCATCTAATACCTCTTACAAAAAGAAAAAACTGGAAACTCCCTCAAACCCTCCCCATTTCAGTTACCACCCTCTGTCTTCCCTTTTTAGGAAAACTTCCGAACAGTTGTCTTAATCCACTGTCTCCAGTTCCTCATTTCCCTGAACCTATGCCGATCAGATGTTCACCCCTACTGTCCCTAAAAACTGTTCTTCTCAAGTTCACCAAAAAGCTCTGTTATTTAAACAGCATTACACAGTTGAACATTCCCACCCCTTGAACACCTTCTTCATTTGGCTTCCAAGTTATCATTCTCTTTTGGTTTTGCTCCAACCTCAATGGTCATTCCCTTTCAGTTTCTTTTGCCTAGTTCCTTCCCCAATCTCCTTTCCATCAACACACAAGGTCTCCTGCCTTCAAATACCATCTACATTTATACTTCCAGTCCGGGGAGACTCTGAACTCCAGACTTATATATCCAACTGCCTCTTCACCATCTCCACTTAGGTATCTAATAAGCACATAGAAACCTAAAATGCCTAAAGACAGAATCTTGAAACCATCCCTTGCCCCTAGTCTCTTTTCCCATGCTTCCCCATTTAAGAAAATTTGGAATTCCCATTTTTCAAGTTGCTCAGGCCAAAATGATTGATCTCTTTATCTCACATTCACACATCTGTTACCAAATCCAGTTTGCCCTGCCTTAAACTGTAACTGGAACCCAACTGCCTCTTACCATCACCATTACCACTCTGCTCCAACTCACGGCAACTCATCATTGCAATAACCTCCTGACACCTTCTACTTTCAACATATCAGCCAGAATCACCTTTTCATAATTTAAGTCAAATCATGTCCCTTGACAGCTCAAACCTTTTCCAATGGTAAGTAAAAATCCACCATGGGCTAAACGCCTATACAATCCAGCCATTCCTTACCTTCACACCTCATCTCCTTCCATTCTCCCCCTTGCTCACTCTGCTCCAGCCACAACAGCTTTCCTCCTGTTCCCGGAACACACCCTCCACCTCAGGTCTTCCCTCTGCCTGAAGATTCTTCTCCCAGTTACCTACATGGTTTCATTCTCTCATTTTCTTCTGGTTTTTGTTCCAATGTCACCTTCTCGGTGAGGCCTGTCTTGACTACCCTATTTAAAATTGCCATTTCCTTCAATCGCTCATCCCTGAATTTTCCCCATCACACTCATTACTATCTACTACATTGTTTACTTAATTTATATTGTTTATTATTTATCACTACTAGAGTGCCATGAGAGATTTTTATTTGTTCTGTTCAGTGTTGTATCCTCAGGGCCAAGAACAGTGCTGGCAAACAGAGGTTGCTCAAAGGGTTATTTGTTGAATGAATAAAATGAGAAATTCTTAATTTGCTGCTAGAATGTCTTCAATACTCAACACTTGCTAATCTCTTTAGGGCTCAGCACCTCAGCTAGTAAAACCATCAAGTCAGAATTTGGTTAACATTAAACTGAAGTGTTTTGCGTTCGTTTTATTACTTTTTACTTAAGATACTGGGTCTCTACTAAGTTACTTTTAGTACATGTTTTAAGTTTAAAAAGTGAGTTTCTTCTAAGAAAAACGTTAAGAAATGATATGGGACTAGAAGAGAGACATGGTAAAATTAGTGTTAAGTGGTATTTGAATGACTGAACTTTAAGAACTCTTAGGGTAGGGCTGCCAGAGAAAATACAGGACACCAGTTAAATTTTAATTGTAAATAATTTTTTTCTAGTTTATGTCCCAAATATTGCATAGGACACACACTAAAACGGTATTCGTTATCTGAAATCCTATTTTAAATGAGCACCTTTTCCCCCCCTAAATCTGGCAACCCTATCTTAGGAGAACAAAGAAATTACACCCTGCTCCTTGTTCGCATCCATTTCGATCAGAACAAGCTGTTAGAACTCTTGTCCTAGCTACAGACTTCGTGGCTGTGGAGGAGTACTGAGGCCTGACATCCTAAAAATCAAAGAAGCAAAGGCCTCTTTGGGAGGGGAAAGGCCTCGCGGCATCAGACCGCGGGGAAGGGGGGGGTCTGGGCCCAGCTCCCTTTCTCAGCCTCTCAGGCTTGCAGCCACTTTCTGGCCCTTACCAATATTTCCTTCGATGGAGAGCCTTCGAGGCCCGCGCTCCGCGTGCAAGCCCCTGGAGGGGTACACGCCACCGACTGCGCTCTGGGCCATGGACCTGGAAGGTGCTCGCAACAGCCTTCGAAGGAGCCGGCCCGCGGTCATTCCACCCACAACTTGCGCAGCTACCACTTCCGCCGAGAGCATTTCCGCCCTCGGTACAGCCGTTCCAGCGCTCCGGCGCGCCTATGACGTCAGGAGATCGCTGGGCAAGAAGCGGGTGGGGTTGAGCCGGCTGGGGGTGGGGCCAAAGGGACGGCTCTGTTCTCGCGATGTTTGTGGATGACCGAAGCTAGATAGGAAAGACTTCCGGTGTGGCGGGTGCGTGAGAGTTAGTACCTGCAGCTGTTACTGCGGCTTAGCTTCTCGGTTTTTGTCGAACAGCAACATCGTAAAAGAGACATAAACTCACTAATCTCATAACCTTTGTATTTTTGTGTAACTTTTAAGTCATTAAAGACAAATCAAAATAATTGTAATTGTAAGCGAGGCTTTTCCTGGTGTTTGTCTGCTTTTCTAATATGGGTAGCAACTGGACTATTTTAAGGAGGAAAATGACACAATCTGATGATGTACACATTAACTTTTTCCCATTCACTTGCGACGCGCAGCACAATGCTGGCACATTACTGAATAAATCAAATTAGTTCATTACACTCCACCTCTTATTTTGTCTTTTGAATGAATAAGTAAACGTTCGCTCGATTTGCGTAGTAGCCAAAAATCCCATTAGGCTAAAGTGGGTGGAGGCCCAGGATATGAGTGGAACTCGTTTAAACCAGATAGATGGGGGTCCTGTGGGCGTGAACAACGGCGGGGGTGAGGAGCGGGCCAGTTTGGGGCGGTGAGGTTTCTGAATGGGATTTGTCAAAGGCTGAGCAGAACCCGGGTAGAGACTTGCTGGTGTTTAAAACTGGAGTCCCCCTGTCGGTGGAGAGCTGCGCTCCGCTCTGCTGAGGGGCAGGGACAGTTCTGAGCTGCTGCCCCCGGGTGAGGCCCTGACTGGCTTTGTCCTGCCACACCTCATTGTCATAACGACCTCAGAACTAACGCTTTATGAAGTGTTGTTAGAGGGTATTTCCACCTTCCACTGTTGAAAACGCAAGAGTCAAAGCAGGAGTCCCAACAGTCAAACCGGCCTTCAGGCAGCACTCTTAGAGGTGGGAGGTTTTAGGAAACAGGGACCTGTTTGCAAGGGGTTGGGGAGGGGTCGGTGGCTGGGACATCAGTCTTGCATAAAAAGCACAAGACCTTTTTCTAATACTGATGTTTATATGGGATGGCTGAAGTGATGTTCGTATTTTAAGCACATTCTTAAAAAATATAGGTTATAACTTTATTTAGGATAACCTAGATGCAGCACCAATGGATATTGGAACAGCTAAAGTCTGTCCCATCTTCTGCTCCCATTCTCACAGTCACCTCCGTGTCAAAATACTGCCTACATTCCTTTATCAATGTGAACTCAGACTTGGAAAATATTCATCAAGAAAAAGTTTGAGAGATGGGGCGCCTGGGTGGCTCAGTCGTTAACCGTCTGCCTTTGGCTCAGGTCATGGTCCCAGAATCCTGGGATGGAGCCCCGCATCGGGCTCCCTGCTCAGCAGGAAGCCTGCTTCTCCCTCTCCCACTCCCCCTGCTTGTGTCTCTCTCTGTCAAATAAATAAATAAAATCTTTAAAAAAAAAATTGAGAGAGTCTCTCAGCACCCAGAAGGCCTCTCTGCCTTTGCTGCCAGCAGGGTCATTGTGAAGGTTAAATGAGGAAGTTGTTAGGAAGGTTAGGTGCAGACAGGCAACTAAACTTCTCCTTAAAGTTAGAGTTACTAAAAGTTATTATTTTTTTTAGACTTTATAGTAAAGTGTAGTATGTAGTGAAGAAAAGAACTTGCATCATAAGTATGCAGGTTAATGAAATTTTGACAAACTGTACCTTACTTGGATTCAGATAAAGATATAGACCATTGCTGGCATCTCCAGCATCCATTTGTCCTGCCAGTTACTACCCACCAGAAGTCATCAGTGGCCTGACTTCTAACAGCAATCGTTTTGCCTGTTCTTTATATAAATGGAATCACATAGTAGGTACTTCTTTCATTCAATATTATATCTATGAAATTTATCCAGGCTATATATATACATAGCTGTAATTCATCCTCGTTGTCATATAGTGTTCCAATACATTGCTATACCACAATGTATTTTATCTGTTGCACTACTGCTGGACATTTAAGAGTTTCTAAATTGGGGCTATTACGAAGAGGGTGGCCATGAATATTCTTGAATATGTCTTTTGGTAAATTTATGCATGCAGTTCTCTTGGGTAATACCTGTGAGTGGAATTATGTGATTAGTTATTTGTATGTTCAGCTTTAGTAAAACATTCCCAAACAGTAGATAGTTTTACAGTGTTTGTACCAATTGACACTGCCACCATCATGAGTGGGCACTGTGGTTGTCCCACATTCTTAACAACAGTTGGTATTGTCAGCTTTTCATTTTGTCCAGGATGCCATATGTAGTTTTAATCTGCATTTTCCTGATGATTAATGAAGCAAAACACTTTTTCATATGTTTACTGGCTATTTCGGGAACCTCTGTTTTAAAGAGGTTCCCTGAATGCATTCTGACTGATACACCTAATCATGAAGGGAAGCATTTAAGGAGTAGTTAAGAGTGTGGGCTCCTGAGAGCCTGGGGTGAGGGTTGAGAAAGATAACCCACAAGTAGCACTTACCACCTGCCACACAGCTACCACCCAGTACACTTTCTATCATCAGTAATGGCTGCCTTCAGCTTGACCCTCAGTGCCCGGGACATTTTTGCCATTTATCTTGAGTTGACTGCCTGTTGTATTTCCTCTCTCCTCAAGCTACTGTAACCTACCCATGTTCCGCCCCCCCCACTATCAGCGTATGACCTGACTTCCCCTGAAGACTTCAAGGACTGCACTTCTTAAAATGGGGTAAGACTGGGTGGGGGCAGGGCAAGGAACAATGGGTCAGCCTCCCCATCTTCCCCCACCTGGAGACTCTGATGCACCCCTCTACTGCAGGGATTTGTCAGTACTCCACATTTCCTCCCATCCTGTGTGTGTGTTTGTGGGGGGGGGGGAGCTGTCCTCTGGCCTCCTCCCCATGCTTTCTCTTCCAACAGCCTGTGACTGAAGCTCTTCTTTGCAAGACTGCCCTCGGCCTACTGGAGCCCTTTCCCAGCCCCTGTGGAAAGCATGGGACTTTACCTCCCCCCAGAGTGTGCCTTCTCCAATCACTGATAGGTCAGCATGAAAGCCCAGTTGCATCCAGTCAGGCTTTTACACCAGAGCTGCCTGGGCACCAGGGTGAAACAACCCTTTGTGGGACTCTATCGGAGAGATCCCCTGCTGGGCTTCCTCCCCTTTCTTGTTCTGCTTCTCTTACTCTGCTCTCTGGTCTCCCCTGCAAGCACTTCCTTGAATCACTTGCCTGTGTATCCTCACTTCAGGGTCTGCTTCTGGGAAACCCATCTTAAGACATCAGTCCACTAGAGATTTTTGTAAAACATGCTTCTCCACCCTACCCCCAAGGGCAAGTGCCGGGATGGCAGAGGAAGTATGTTTGACATTAAGGTCTGTGCACTTCCACTGGGGTCCACTGTCTCCAGATAGGTGTGTCTGGGAAGGCTCACAGCCAAGCGGGATCTGCTCGGGAGCATCAGGGTTGGGACTTGAGTAGGTAGAGAGAGTAAAGGGTATGCCAGGCAAAAGTAGGAATCTTCTGCTATTAGCTAGCTGGGTGAGCGAGTTAACTTGTAAACTAGCTATAAAATGGGAATGATACTAGTATCTGCTAATAGGGTTATGGTGAGGATTAAGTGGGGAAATCCATGGAAAACTCTTAACCTAAGGCCTCACATATTGTAAGCATTCGACCAATGCTAGCTATTATTACTACCCTTTGTTTTCTCATCATATTTTGTGGGTGCTTCTATTTCACCTCAAATCATTGTCTTGCATATGTCTTCCCCCCGCTTTATGCAGTGAGACTTTGATGGGCAGGAATCATCTTTACTGGATATGTAAATCCCGTGTGACCTTACCCACTAATAATGGATGCCAAAAATTCAGCAAATACTTGTGAAATTTAACAGAATTGACCAAGGGCAGGGAGTAGGGAGCAAATAACAAGAGAGAGACAGAGGGAGATAGAAGCAGGAGGTGGGGTGCCTGGGTGGCTCAGTCGTTAAGCGTCTGCCTTCAGCTCAGGTCATTGTCCCAGGGTCCTGGGATCGAGCCCCGCGTCGGGCTCCCTGCTCAGCGGGAAGCCTGCTTCTCCCTCTCCCACTCCCCCTGCTTGTGTTCCCTCTCTCGCTGTGTCTCTCTCTGCCAAATAAATAAATAAAATCTTTAAAAAATAAAAGAAGTAGCAGGAGGAAGAGCAAGAACAAAAGGGGGAGAAGGGAGAAGAAGAAGAAGAGGAAGGAGGACGAGAGGAGGGAAAGAAAAAAAAAATTCTTCCTAAAGGTGCTGCTCCTTTCTGGATTAGTTTTGGGGAAAGATACAGCCCAATCCTCAATAACAAAAGCCCTCGTAGAGATCTTGAGCCCACTGTGACCTTCCACCACCCGAATTCAAACATTGCGTTTGAGCCACTCACATGTCACAGCCTGTAAACCTTGTGTTTCTCTTTCTGGTCATGTTCTCTGTGCATTGCCCTCAAGTACAAGGACTTAGATCTCTGAAAGCCCTTGCTTCCTAACCTGCCGCCCCCACCAAGCGCCATCTAGCCCTCATTCTTACTCACGTTCAAGGACAGGGAAACAGGGTAGTACGGTAGGAGTACTAGCTTTAGAGTCAGACAGATTTGGTTTTTAATCTTGATCCTGGGGTCTTCAGCACGTTCTTAACTTCTCTGAGCCTCAATTTCCTCTTGTAATGTGGGAATATATGCATCTCACAGGATCATTGTGTGGATGAGAAATAAGGTGTGAAAAGCCCTTAGCACTGTGTAAAAGCCCAGGGCGGAAAAAAAGCCCCACACAGAGAAGTAAGGCTTGCAGGTTTTAATGTTTCATGATCGGTAGCAGAGCAGTCTCCAGGGGATCCCCAGAGAATCTGTTCTGACTTTAGAAGCACTTCCTGTGGACAATGGAGGGCCCTGCCTCATCATACTCAGGCTTGCTGATCCACATCTGCTGAAAGGTGGAGAGAGAAGCCAGGATGGAGCCTCCAATCCAGACCGAGTACTTCCGCTCTGGGGGAGCAATAATCTGCAAAGAATAAATGTGGTGAATCGTAATTAGCACCCAAGGGAATAGGGAGGTGGTCCAGGAGATCACCTCATCACAGTGCCAGGCTGCCCCAGGTAAGGACGGCCTCCAGGTCAGAAACAAACAGGGTAAACCTTGTGTTAGATTAGACTGTTGCTCAAATCTTTACTCCCGCCCTCGTCCTCCCCGCATGGGAAGGGTGCACTGTTTCGCCCCGTGACTTTGGGCTGGGCCCTGTATTTGCTTTGACTGATGGGACGTTAGCAGACGTGGCACAAACAGGAGCTTGACATGGGCCTCAGGCCTGCAGCTGTGCCTCTGCCATCCTGATGAGAAGGGCTTCCCTGGAGAAGCTGCTGGCCCTTCAGCCTGGGCCCCAGCATGAAAGCTACAGACCTGACCTGAGCTGGCTAGACCTGCAGAGCTGCTGAGCCAGGCCTGACTTAGATCAGCTGACCCGCAGACGCACACGCAATAAATACTGATTGTTATGTCCCTGAGATTTCACAGTTGCTTGTTCCTCAGGGATGGATGACCAATACAAACATCTACAGGGAAAGCGCCACTCTGTTCTTGCCTGGAGTTTGGATGCACGTGCAGCTGAGGCTGGGCTTCTCCCAATCCTGAGTCAGCCAGCACACTCAGACCCTGTATTGAGCTTCATCTGTCAATAGCCACTGGTAGCTGACAAGTCCTGAGCTTAGCCTCTAGAAATTGGTTGTCCTGTCAAACAACTTTGAACTCCACCTACAAGTGGATCCAGAGGGACAGCTACTAAAGGGTCTAAGGATTCAGGGCCAGGATAAACCGGACGCTGAATTGATTGTTTTTGTCTCCTTAGACCCTCTCTACATCTTTCCTAAATTGTGGAGATCATGGAATTGCAGAAGAAGAAGAGTCTTAAGAAGTTATTGTATTATTCAGTCAGACAAAGGCACTCGGTCACTCTTTGGACTGATACCTCAAGGACGAGCACAGCCACGTTACTGCTGCCCAGCTCTGGTTGTGAGAGGAGTCTGGGCTTCCCCGGGCTGGGGTCCCCCGCCTCAGCGCCACCCTGCCTCACCTCTCTTCTTCCAGACCTTCGGCGCGCGTCTTATCTCCCCAGCTCCCCTACACGAATCCGGCCGGCCCGTTCGTGCCTGCACACACATACCCACTGGGGCACCTTTGCTCGCTCTATTTCCCCTGCCGCAAGTGCCCTTTCCCCTCCTCGTGTCTTATTTACGTAGCCCTCTCAGTGAGCAAGTCTACTGATGAGATTCTAAACTCCTTGAAGGCTGGCACACGTTGTTAAACTCAGGGCAGTGGCTCACAAATTGGGATATGCATCAAAACGCTGGTGTTTATTTATCAGTATAGGTGATGGGGGCACCCCGGATCTGGTGAGCCAGAATCTGGGGGTGAGGCGAGATGTGGTAAATGGCCCTGGTAAAAATCCCCTGCCTCGGGCCTGGCGCCAGGCCCCGCCATGCTGCTCCAGTGGATCTGGGTGAGAAGGGCCTGCAGGCTCCCACCTGTTTTCTGGTAACCGGCTCTGCTGACCTTTGCTGAGCACCATCTGCTAGGCAGGGGGAAGGCCCGGGGCAGTCTTCCTTTGTGAAAAAGTTTCTTATGATACACTCCCCTCAGATGAAGCCAACTCCCAGAGACCAACTTTATTGTGAGACTTCGTAACTTTCAACCTATTTGTTATCTCTATTCGATTCCCAACTCCTTTTCTCAACCTGCTAGCAGCAAAATTCTTAGAAGCCCTAAAAAGCTCTGTATGGGGACGCCTGTGTGGCTCAGTAGGTTGGGCTTGTGCCTTCGGCTCCGGTCATGATCCCGGGGTCCTGGGATCGAACCCCACGTTGGGCTCCCTGCTCAGTGGGGAGCCTGCTTCTCCCTCTGCCTGCCATTCCCCTTGTGCTCTCTGTCAAATGAATGAATAAAATCTTTAAAAAAAAAAAGCTCTGTACGGTTGCTTGGGGACCAGAGGCTGGAGAGAGGCAGAAGACAAGGGGGCCTCCATTCTGACGAGGCTTGTGAGGTGAGCTGCCTTGGTGAGCAGCTGCGTGGGGAGGACGTGAACCAAGAGCAGACAACAGATCACAGGTTGTCCAGGAATCAAGTGATATCCCTGTGAGTTTGAACCAGCAGCCTGCCCCATGCCAAAGCTTCTCTCTGGAACTTTCATCCTCCTCTGAGGTAACACCTATATTCATTTTAAAGTCTAAAGATGCTGTCGTGTTGCTTCCTTCTTTTCTTCCCCTCTCTTTCCCTCCTCCTGATTGCATCCTCAACCCCCTCAATATTCTCTTCATCCCAAATTCTTTCACTCCCTTCTCATGGGACATCATATGATTACATTTGAGATCTCATGCTAAACATGTCTCCAGCTCATCAGTGCCCAAGGAACATAATCCCCCAAGATGGAATCTGTCCCAGACCAGAACAATGCTGAGCCCAGGAGACCACCAATCTACGGACCTGGCAGACTGACTTGGAGCATCTCCCGAATAGGCAGGTATTTGTCCAAAGAACAGGATGGAGGGAACTGGGGCAGGACCCACCTTGATCTTCATGGTGCTGGGGGCCAGGGCTGTGATCTCCTTCTGCATCCTGTCAGCAATGCCAGGGTACATGGTAGTACCCCCCGAGAGGACATTGTTGGCATATAAGTCCTTGCGGATGTCGATGTCACACTTCATGATGGAATTGTAGGTGGTTTCATGAATCCCGGCGGACTCCATGCCTAGCGCAGGTCATAGTATCAATCAACACCCGTTAATTCATAAATACCCACGCCTCCAGCTCCTCAAGTGATCCTTCTGTCTTAGTGCAGAACCTTAATCACCTCCCAAACGGATTATAGGATCAGACCTCTAACTGGCTTTTGGTTCCTCCTGTTCTGATTGATCTTTCACACTGATCGGCGAGGGTATATTTCTAAGGGAACACTTTCAATGAGTCATCTTTTTCCAAGCTTTATTGAGTTATAATTCATGTATCATAATATTCATCCTATTAAAGTCCAGTAATTTTTAGTAGTTTCATGGATTCTGCAACCGTTGCCAAAATCTAATTTTAGAACATTTGTAACACCCCAAAAAGAAACTCTGTACTGGTTAGCAGACACTGCGAACTTCCCCTTCCCCAGCCCTTCCCCAGCCCGAGGTGACCACTAAGTTATTTTCTATCTCTATAGATTGGCCTGTTCTGGACACATTTCATATAAATGGAATCCTACAATATGTAGCCTTTTGTGTCTGGTGCCTTTCACTTAATGGTATGTTAATGTTCACATTTCACCTAATGTTCTCAAAGTCCATTAACGTTAGAGCGTGTGTCGATGCGTTAATCTCTTTTATTGTCAAAAAATATTCTATTGCATGGATCTACCCACCACGTCATCTTTGACAGCCCCCCCGCTTTATCTACAGGTTACATCTACCTACCTTAGCCTGGCCCCGCCCCGGGGCCCTCCATAGTGAAAGGCCCGCATGCCGAACCAGCCCATGCCCGCCTTCCTGGCCTCCCCCACCTCTAGCCTTTCCTCCATGTGACATAATTTCACACTGAGGTTAGAGGAACCTTCCTAAAATACAAACCTGACCTTGCTACACTACTGCCTAAAAACTTTCAGGGATCTCGTTGCTGATATGATTAACCACTATGCTCTTGGTGTGGTCCAGCCACTCTCTCCAGTTTCCCCTGCGTGCGCACACACATACACACACACACACACACCCCACATTTCTGCCACCGTGTCCCAAGTAGACCACGGCCTCTCACACCTCCATGTCTTTGCATGGACCCTTCCATCCGCCCCATATGTCGTTCCCTATCTTGCACTCCTTCCGTCCCCAGATGCCCTCAAATGGTACTCATTCTTCCAGATTCTGTTCAAATGTTGGCCTTCCCTAAGAAGGCTTTCCTGATTTCTTAGGCTTATATCACTTTGCTCAGCTGCTATGAACTACTACACTGTCTATTAACGTTGGTTTGCAGGCCCAACTATACCTATATACTCCTCAAGAAAGCAGTTGTCCTTGTACTAAATATTCTCTTACTTGACCTTTGTTGCAACCCTATCTAGTTGGCACTAATCATTATCCCCACTTTATAGATGAGAAAACTGAGGTTTGAAGAAGACAACACGTCCAAAGTGACAGGCTTTAAAGGGGAAGAATCAGGACCCGAGGCCAGGTCTGACCCCATACCCATCCTGCTTATTGCTGTGGGTTTTGGCCCCAGTGACCTAAATGTTGAGTGATCCAAGAAGTGTTTTGTGTATTAACCTTATTCTTAGTTTATGTTATATTCCCTATTCTGCTTTTCTTTTATTTTGGTTTCCGTATCCTTTTATTTAAAATTAGATTTTACCGGGGGCGCCTGGCTGGCTCAGTCAGTAGACCATGTGACACTTAATCTTGGGGTTGTGAGTTCAAGCCCCACGCTGGGTGTAGAGCTTACGTAAAAAAATAAAATCTTAAAAATAAATAAATTTTATCTGGTTGTATTGTCGATGTGTTTTTGGCCCTTCCTGGAAAAATATGGGCTGTGTATAAATTATGAACAAAGCGTGCGTGACTCCTGGTGTTTCTCCCTCCAGAGCTCTCCCCTCCCCGCCCAGTTAGCAGGGACAGTAGGCAGCGCCTCACCAATGAAGGAAGGCTGGAAGAGGGTCTCGGGGCAGCGGAAGCGCTCGTTGCCGATGGTGATGACCTGCCCATCTGGCAGCTCATAACTCTTCTCCAGGGAAGAAGAGGAGGCTGCCGTGGCCATCTCATTCTCAAAGTCCAGGGCCACGTAGCACAGCTTCTCCTTGATGTCTCGCACGATTTCTCGCTCAGCTAGAAAGAGCAGAAATGACAGAAAGTAGATACTCTGTTCTGTTAGTGTGTCCTATTTTGATCTCCATGAAAACCTCTTCTACTCTGGGTTCATTTTTAGGACAAATGTCAATTTTTCATTCCTCTTCCTAAAGTGCAAGTTCAAAATCTTGATTCCCAGGCAAAACTTTGCATGGGTTTTTCTCCTTGCTGTCTTTACTCTGCCCTGACAAAGCTACCGGCCTTCCTGAGGGCCTTACAGGACACATTTCCGGTATAGATGGAGGATTTGTTGTGATCTTACAGAATCTAGGAAAGCCCCTGCCTAAAATCTCTTGCCCGGGGTGGGCACTAAGGCACGACAACTTCTCCTTAGAAATTCAGACCTTATTTATTCCATGTGTCCTCAGACAAACCATAAATGCCCTTCAGTTACAAAATGCATCATCAGATTTTTACTACCATTCAGCCCTGTAAAAACCAGCTCGGATCCTGGTGCAGACATGGACAGAGATAGCAGGTCCCTGGGGAAGGAGGGAATGCTGTGAAAGGGCACTTAAGGAGGCCTTGTCCCCTTCCCGAGAGCATCTCAGTTGGGAAACTTCCTCCATAAGTAAGGCAGCCTTGACCATCTGGTCTTGTCCCGAGGCCCAGCCCCAGCCCCAAATCCTCCCCATCTATCTCAAGAGAGTTTGAGGACAGCGGGCCACAGACTTTTCATCAGAGAACATCTGGTCCTAGCAGATTTGGTTTGAGCTCAATTCAGAATCAGGAAAGGGGCTGGATACCTGTGGTCACAAAGGAATAGCCTCTCTCTGTGAGGATCTTCATGAGGTAGTCAGTGAGGTCACGGCCAGCCAGGTCAAGGCGCATGATGGCATGGGGCAGTGCGTAGCCCTCATAGATGGGGACATTGTGGGTGACGCCATCCCCTGAATCCAGCACGATGCCTATGGAGAGAGGGGATAGGACCTATAAAAACTTCTTGTCTTTCATCTTTCTGGGACCAGTTGCCAAATGGTCTTCAACCACCATATTTTTCTCTAGCAGCTGAGAAAATTCACCCACCATAAGGATCATCACTAATATTTTTTGTGTACATCATTTATTCTCCCAAATGAGACTGTAGCCTTCTGGAAGGCAAGTAAAACATCTTCCCCTCTTGTGCTCCTTAAAACACTTTCACAGTACTGCATACTTGTCAATGTGCATCTCAGTTGCCCATTCTTTAAGGGAGACTGGATAATTTGCATATCCTTCTGGCATTAAACTAACATATATGCACATGCATGGAGAATGTTAGATCTGGAAGGGACTATAAAAACCAGCCAATTTGAAAAAAAAAATTAACATTCTCTATTGATGAAACTTAAACCATGGAGGGAAATGAGGTTTTCAACATGATGATAAATCTCTCTCAATCCAACAGCCATACCATAATTGATGGAGAAACACTATAATATTATTGTTGTATTATTATTTAATATTGTCCTAGATGTTCTAGCCAATGCAATATGACAGAAAATAGAAAAAGAGTTATTATCAAAAGAAAGAAATAGAATTGTCCTTGTTTGCAGATGATGAGGCCATATACCTAGAAGACCCAAGAGAATCAACTGAGACATGGCTTAGTAAAGGCCAGATGCAAAATAAATATCTAGGGACCAGTAGCTTATACTTGTACAAGGATGCTGATCACAGCATATTTTATAATAAAAAATAAAAAACTGGAGACAACCATAAAGTCCAGCAGTAGAGAAATGGTAAAACAAATAAGTAAATTATAGAACCATCATACATTCCCCATCACTGTCCTGTCATCAGCAGTGAAATTACCTTTTGCATTTGCCCCCGCCCACTAGACTGTTAACTCTCTGATGGTAGGGTTGTCTTGCTTGTCAGTGTGTGCCCATGGCCTGGTGCAGTCTTTGGCACATGTAGGGAGTAATGGAAAAATATCTGATGAATGAATGAATAATGAATACTTGAATGAATGAATGTTGAACTATGTTCATGGAAGCTGTCAAGTCCCCATTAGAAACTGCTTTATCCTGAAGTTCCCTCTGTTTCCCTGAGCACCTTTCCATACCAAGGGTGCATATATAGCCACTATCACAGGTTCATGAGCAGAAACATTCCAGTATTGTTGGAAAGTGTGTGTAAGCTTGGGGGCTGACTGCTGTGAGGAAAACGGTCCCTGCTGGATGTACCAGTCATGCTTTGTTCATATCAGTTCTTGCCAGCTCTACCAGGTAGACCTGAATGCATTCCACATGGGCTTCCCTTCTGTTACCCCTATGCAGGGTTTTCCGTGGACTTTGGCCATCCCTTTGCTTCTCCTAAGCGGGAACCTCTGCAGGAGTCCAGCTTTCCCTTCTGCCCCCCAGAGTCAGGAAGGGACCAGATTATAGGCTGCTCACCAGTTGTGCGGCCAGAAGCATAGAGAGAGAGCACAGCTTGAATGGCGACGTACATGGCAGGGACATTGAAGGTCTCAAACATGATCTGAAAGGACAATGCAGGAAAAAGGATGATCTGGCAAAAATCACAGCACCTCTGGGCCCCCAGGATGGTTTGTAGCCTTATTAAGGGCAAGGGGCTGTGCCTTTTTACCCCGCTCCCACCTCCCATAGGGCCTGACATAGACTACATACATAGCATGTCCTCAAAAATTGTTGTTGTACTGATGCATGAAAGAGAGAAGGGATCCATGCTGCATTCTTGTACCCATGTTTAAGAGTTCCTGGTCTCTTACCTGGGTCATCTTCTCCCTGTTGGCCTTGGGATTTAGGGGGGCCTCTGTCAGCAGGGTGGGGTGTTCCTCAGGTGCTACCCGCAGCTCATTGTAGAATGAGTGGTGCCAGATCTGGTTGAGACAAAAGTCAAATGAGCCAAGGAGATTCCTAGAAAATTCCAATTGGCATGCTCATGATGGGGGAATCATGACACAATGTCCACAGCACAGGCTGGGTTCTAGAGAAGAGACCTCCTCCGGAGCGGAGTCGTGGGAATTTCTGCTTGACCTTTACAGATTATGTTCCTTTTCAACAGGGCCCCAGACAGGACTCAGACCTGGGGCCCATATACTTAGCATATTGATTACTTCTACTTGAACTTCCCCCATCTTTTCTCTTTTTCTGTCTCTCCCCACTTTCTACCCTGGGGGGCCAGGCCAGTTGTATCTCTCAGTATTTCCTTGCTTCCTGGCTTCTGGCTGTGTTTGGCTGATGGAAGTCATCAGCAAGAGGCTGGAGGGTGGGAAGAGGGAGAGAGGTCAAGCAATTCTCCAAGCAATGGTGTGGCCCTCAGTGGGCCCCGCTCCTACTGGATGGCCCTTCTTCCAGCTGTAGTGACGCCGCCTCACCCCCATCCTTCAGGCTGTTCCTAGTACTTGGGTACCTCAACATCCCTTTCTGGTTCCATAACCCTGCTCACACCTCTCTAAGTAGTCCTTTCTTAATTTCAAAACACCTGCTGAGTGTATACCATCTCCTGCTGGGAACCCGACAGGTATGCTTGAACTGTCGCTGTTTATTACTGGCCAGACTGGTGCTTTAGAGCAGGGTTTCCCAACCTCAGCACTTTGACACTTTTAAGTTGGATAATTCTGCGATGTGGGGGGCTGTCCTGTGCATTCTAGGATGTTCGGCGTTCCTGGCCTCGACCCACTAGATGCCAGTAGCACCTCTCCAGCAATGACAAGCAAAAATGTCCCCAGACATTGCCAACTCCTCCCCCCTCAGGAGGCAAAATTGCTCCTGTTGAGAATCACTGCTTTAGAGGAAGTAATTTCTTCTCACTGTGTCCAGTGATCCAAGATGACCCAACAGGAGTCTTTATTTCAGAGGGATTCAGCAAAGTGGCAGGGACATAGGGCTCTGATTTCCTCAGAGGTGGGGCACAGGATCATCTGCTTCCGTTGTACCCATATATTTGTGGGCTCCTGGCTTTGGGTTAGGATGGTGCTAACTGTGGTGAGGGCAGGTATAAATCAGATACGGCCCCTTGCTCTTGGTTTTCAAAGTCCAGAGGAGAGAAAAACATCCAAGAGGACAACATACAAGGACACATTCACATTTTGAGTAAAAGAAGAGGCAGTTCATTATCTGGGGGGTTTGAGTGGGCTCTGCAGGCAAAGGAAGGTCTCCAGCAGCTGAGAAGGGCATCGGAGGCAGAGAAAATGGCACAAGCAGAGGTCCGGTCTGTGAAAGTTTCACAGGAGATGTGAATGGCAATTAATCCTAATTGAGTGATGGCAGAACTTCTTCAAATGTGGGCCCCAGATGCTTTGTACCAGAATCACCTGAGATGACTGTCATAGGTGCAGGCCCCCAGGCTGTATCCCGGGCCCGTGAACCAGAATCTTGGGCGTTGGGCCCAAACACCTGCACTTGATTTCATTTCACTTTTTAGAGCTTTTATAAAGTACTTTAAAAGTGAAAGGTGTTGATAATTTTAAAATTAGAAAAATATTTTTAAGAGGAGTAAAAATCTCCCACATTTCCATCACCTAGTAATAAATAGTTAACATTTTGGCTTTTTCTTCTTACTAACCTTTCACCTTTAAGTATTTTCAAATTTATTTCTATCACCATTTATTATTTCATATGCTTGTATTTATTTACTATGCTATTTTTATACTTTTACATTCAATTTTGTTTCCTGCCACTTTTCAGTTAGTGTAACATAAGTGATTTCCTTTTCCAGGGCGCCTGGGTGGCTCAATCAGTTAAGCATCTGCCTTCAGCTCAGATCATGACCCCAGGGTCCTGGGATCGAGTACTGCGTTGGGCTCCCTGCTCAGCAGGGAGTCTGCTTCTCCCTCTCCCCATCCCTCCACTTGTGCTCTCTCGTTCACTCTCTCTCTCTCAAATAAAGAAAGTCTTTAAAAAAAATTCCTTTTCCATAGTAAATATTTATGTTTAATAAATTGAACATTTATTTTTAATGCTACACATTTCATCATATTCCAACATGTATTTACTCATATTACTATTCACAGTATCTTCGATTTTTGTTTATAAATAATCCTGTCACAGTTATCTTTGTGCATATTACATTTTCTTTTTTCTATTTAGGACGTTTCCAAAGAAAATAATTTTTGAAGTGGAATTACGAGGCTAAAGAGCATGGCGATTGGAAGACTTTCCGATTTCTATCACCGACAAAGAGGTTAAATTACTCTTTACTCCAGAATAAGAAAGCCTGTGTTACCCGTACCTGCATTCAGGGCTCTCGCTCTTAATATATGAAATAATTTGATAGGGAAACATTGCTTCACTTTGAAAATTTGCATTTCTTTCAGATGAGTTTAAGTTTTTTCAGATTTGCAACTTTTTATAATTTCCATTTGGCAAATTATCTGATCATATCCTTTGTTTATTTGTCTGGTGAAGACTTTGTATTTTTAATGATCAATTTACACTAGCTGTTTATGTTAACCTTCATTGCACTCATGAATTTTTTTGCAATTTGTTGTTTTGTCTTTTGAATTTGGTTATTTTTTTCACATACTAGAAGTCATGATTTTTAAGAAATCACATTTGTCATCTTTTCCTTTAAGACTTCTTTCACCAGAAATTTGATGAATGCTCATGCTTACTATATTGTATTTTTTTTACCATTTGAATTTTTATATTTAACTTTTATATTCAGCTGATATGTGTTTGGTGAAATGGTATGAGGTAAAGGCAATGAAGACTCCCCAACCCTAAAATAACTCATCAGTTGTCCTGGAATAATTCACTGAATAATCCTTTTCTCCCATTGGTGTTCAAAGTTTCATTTATCATGTATTTCCTCTTTACTTTTGTGCTGGTACCAAACTGTTTTAATTTTTTTAAAGATTTTTATTTATTTATTTGACAGAGAGGGACACACAGAGAGAGGAGACACAAGCAGGGGAAGTGGGAGAGGGGGAAGCAAGCTTCCCGCTGAGCAGGGAGCCCGACGTGGGGCTCGATCCCAGGACCCTGGGATCATGACCTGAGCCGAAGGCAGACGCCCAACGACTGAGCTATCCAGGCACCCCCAACCTATTTTAATTTTTATAAGTATATTATATTTTAATATGTGGGTATGGCAAGTCTCCTCTCATAGTTTTTTTCACTCATTTTGTTCTCATAAATTCTGCCTTATTTATTTCTCCAGACATACCTTATGATTATTTTGCAGAATTAAAAAGTGTGATTTTTTTTTTAATTCAAATTCACCGAAGCAGAAAATAGGATGGTATTTACCAAGACCTGGGGGGAGGGGAAATAGTGAGGTATTGGTCAAGGGATACAAAGTCTCAGTTATGCAGGATGAATATATTCTGGTGATTTAATGTATAGCATGGTGTATTTGAAATTTGCTAAGAGGGTAAATCTTAAGTGTTCTCAGTACAAGAAAAAAAGTAACTATGTGAGGTGATAGATATATTAATGAGCTTGAATGTTGTGACTCTTACACATATAAATGTATATCAGGTCATCGGGTCACACCTTAAATATATACAACTTTAAAAATTGTGAGTTCTTTTACTGGAATGGCAATTAATTTGAGAAGATTTGACAGCTTTCCCCTATAGCGTTTTTCTTTAGAGCACATAGTACACACAAATATATATGTGTGTGTATATATACAGATACATATATATATATATTTAGAGAGAGAGAGAGTGCGCACACATTTGAGCACTTGAGGTGGGGGAAGGGGCAGAGGGAGAGACAGAATCTTAAGCAGGCTCCACACCCAGCGTGGAGCCCCAGGCAGGGCTCGATCTCATGACCCTGAGATCATGACCTGAGATCCTGACCTGAGTGGAGATGAAGAGTCAGATGCTTAACTGCCTGAGCCACCCAGGTACCATAGGCACATAATATATTTTTAGGAATTTCTTTAAAGAGTTCACACATGGGGCACCTGGGTGGCTCAGTCCATTAGGCGTCTGCCTTCAGCTCTAGTCATAATCCCAGGGTCCTGGGATCAAGTCCCACATCCAGCTCCCCGCTCTGCTGTGGGGGGGAGGAGGTGGTCTGTTTCTCCCTTTGCCCCTCCCCCAGCCCATGCTTTTTCTCCCTCTCTCTCAAGTAAATAAATCAAATATATTTTAAAAAATAAAGAGTTCACACATTGTTACTGTGCTAAACTATATACTAAAATATTTTGTCTATTATGTTTTTGAATTAGATACTGTTAGATCTATATGAATAATATATGCTATTTATTGAGCATGAAGTATGTGGCACGCCTTGGGATTATACTGAGTACCTAGTTCAATTTCCAAAGCAACCTAATGAAAAAAGTATTTTTATCTGCACAAATGGCTCAGAAGGAAGGTCTCACTCCCAGATCTCCGTGCCCCTGACTCGGGGGTCTGTGCTCTTAACCACTCCATGGTGCGAAGCGAAAGCTATGGTACTGTGTCTATCTCACCCAGAGTGACTGAGTCTGGGATTTAGAGAAAAGCAGGGTGCATTAAAGGTTTCACAGCAATATTCTTTATTTCTGGTTGCAGTCTGTTCGATAAGCACTCTATTATACTTCAAAAGGCACTCCTTGCAGAAACAAGGATTCTCAGACAAACATCAGCAGAATTTAGCAAAAGAATATTAGGAGGGCTCTATTAGCACACACATCATTTTGTTGATCACCATCACCAACTACCATTTAAAAATTGCCCCCCACCTCTGCATTTTCTTGCGCGCACACACACACACACACACACACACAGAAGCTTCTAGAAACCCCTAGAGAGTCCTACTTAGAATTTTCATTAGAGAATCAGCATAACAACTTGGCATCGATGCATCTACCTGAGGTCCTGACAGGGGAAGTGGAGAGAAGGAGAGAAGCTGTTTGCACCTGTAGAGGCAGCCATGGCCTCAGGCCCTTCTCCGGCGGGAGCTGCTTGTGAGGATGCAGCTGGGCATTGGGTGGGACAGGCCCTCCGATGCCAGACAGGGAGTTAGGGACCTACTGTCAGCTAATGAGGAGCTACGGAAGATTCCCAAGGAGGTGAGTGACACAATCTGTTTCTAGAAAGACAAGCTTTGCGGCAGCATAGAGAATTCACTGGATGGTGAGGCGGGAGACAAGGAAATCAGGACGCCATTGCAACCGTCCGATGAGAGCTGTTGGCAGCCCCACGGAGAGTAGCCATGCAGATGGACAGGAAGGAAAGAAGGATGTGAGACACATTTTAGAGGCAGTTGACAGGCAGAGGCCTGGGGAAGATGTGGGTCATGAGGATGCATGATTATACTCAAAAGGAGGTCCACCAATACCTTCTCCATGTCGTCCCAGTTGGTGATGATGCCGTGCTCAATGGGGTACTTGAGAGTTAGGATCCCTCGCTTGCTCTGAGCCTCATCCCCGACGTAGCTGTCTTTCTGGCCCATTCCCACCATGACACCCTGCAAAGCAAAAGACAAGGAAGGAGAAGTGAGTTGGCTGAGGGCTCCACTTAGCGGAATCCAGGAATTAGAGGGTCTCTGGAGAAGGGTACAGAAAGGACAGATATCCGTCTTCCCTAGAGACAGGACAGAAAGAGACAAGGGTGAGGCAGACACCCATGACTGTGGAGGCAGCGGGGAGAGAAGGTGGAAACTTTCCTCTGGGCTTGGCTCTCTTCTCTCTCCTAAGACGACATCATTTTCTGAGAGAGCGGGGCCTTCCATTCACTTCTTCCTTACTTCACATACACAGGACTTGTACTTGTCCTCCGAAAATACCCTCTGCTCGCATTTTTATGTCTCCAAATCTTGGCTCTTGCTCTCCCCTTCCCACCATATGTGGAGATCCTCATCCTCAGGTATGCCCTTTCTACAAAGCCTCTCCTTCCCTGGTCCTTCCACTCAGGCTTAATCTCTCCCTCCTTTGCACTCCCCATAGTGAAGTCTTTTGTCTCTATGCTAGACTGTGATCTCAAGTTGGTTCACAGAGTATACATTTCTTAAAGGCAAGGGTCTTGTTTACTTGCATGTATTTTTAAAAAAGTTTCCTCCAGGGATGCCTGGGTGGCTCAGTCGGTTGAGCATCTGCCTTCAGTTCAGGTCATGATCCCAGGGTCCTGGGATCAAGCCCCGCATCAGGCTCCATGCTCATCAGGGAGCCTGCTTCTCCTTCTCTGCTCCCCTGCTCTTGCTTCTCTCTCTATCTCCAATAAATAAATAAAATCTTTAAAAAAAAAACAAGTTTCTTCCAAACCTAGCAATCTCACAGACTTAAGCCAGATATAATACCATCCCCGCATGCCTGGAGTGTGTTGGGTTTGGTCCCGGATATTGCTATTTGAAAGGTCTTGCTCTGTTAGTTAATCAGAAGAGAATCCCCACCCCCAACACACACACTCATACAACTCACACACACACACATACTCAGCACACACACAGAGCTCAGTCCAGTGTCCACTATGCGGCGCTTTCTCCTAGTGGCTCAAAGCCTTGGGTCCAGATGAGCACATACCTGGTGGCGAGGGCGGCCCACGATAGAGGGGAAGACGGCCCGGGGCGCATCATCTCCTGCGAAGCCAGCCTTGCACAGGCCAGAGCCATTGTCACACACGAGTGCAGTGGTCTCCTCTTCACACATGATGAGTGTGGCCAAGTGAACCAGGGGCCGGAGCACCTTGGGAGCAGGGCGAGAAGAGAAGTAGTCAGCCACTTGTCAAAATCATGTTGGAGACAGGATTCTTGGTTTGGGAGCTTGAGTGCAGTCTACCTCCAGCCAGGGCCCAGTTCCACGAGGGACAGACATGGACCTGGACTCCCACTCCCTGGCAGGTGGACTTCTTCCCTCTACCCTGTTGTCACGAGCTGAATTGTGTCCTCCCCACCCCGTTCCCCACATTCATATGTTGACGTCTTAGCCCCCAGTATGTCAGAGTGTGACTGTATTTGGCGATAGGGTCTTTAGAGAGGTAATTAAGGTAAAATGAAGTCATTAATCTAACATGACTGGTGTTCAATATGACTAATCTAATAGGATGGCTATCTTTATGGGATGAGGAAATAAGGACACAGACACGCACAGAGGGAGACCATGTGAATTCACAGCAAGAGGGCAGCCATCTGCAGGCCAAGGAGAGAGGCCTCAGAGGAAACCAACCCTGCCAGCACCTTGAACTCGGACTTCTAACCCCCAGAACTGTGAAAATACAAATGTGTGTTGTTTAAGCCACCCACTCTATGGTACTTTGTTATGGCAGCCCTTAGCAAATGAATTCACCCGTCTCTTAGGGGCCTGAAATGACTATGAAGCTTTAATCCAACGGAAAGAATCTCTAAAGACATAAAATTTAGGAAAGGAGTTGAAAAAATTTGCAGTGTATATAGCAAAGGGTTATTTACAAAATAAATGAACACTTACAAATCAATAAGAAAGAAGTAAGCAGCCCAAAGAAAAACAAGGGGTATGAACACCTAATTGACAGAAAAGGAAATAAAAATACCCCGCAACTCTATGTAAAGATGCTCAGCCTCACTAGTTATCAGAGAAATACAAGTGAAATAAGACTATTTTCACCCATCATACTGTTGAGATTCAATAGGTGTTGGCAAAGGTGGGGGAAACTGACACTCTGACTCAAGAAACACACAAACTTACACTTTGGAACTATTCTGAATTATGGGATTCTGCACTGAAGTCAAGAGAAGAGCCAGGCAGATCTATAGGGATTAAGGTGGATAGGTTTCTAAACCATTCTACTGAATGAACAAAACAAGTTGCAGAGTAGAATGTATAACATAAAACAATTTATGTGAGTTCTTTTTATTTTTTTAAAGATTGTATTGATTTATTTGACAGAGAGAGTGCACACACAAAAAAAAAGTGGGGAGAGGCAGAGGGAGAAGCAGACTCCCCGCTGAGCAGGGAGCCCGATGTGGGGCTCGATCCCAGGACCCTGGGATCATGACCTGAGCCGAAGGCAGACGCTTAACGACTGAGGCACCCAGGCGCCCCACGCTGAATTCTTTTTAAAGCACAAAACAATATTGTGTATTTTTCATCATTTTCTTTTTGTGGACATGAACTCATAGCAAAAAGTTCTGAAAAACCAAGTCTCCGGCTGATCACCCTGGTCACCTCGGGAGGAGGCAGGGGCCTGGGACAGGAGGTGCCGGGTTTTAGAGCTGTGATGTTTTCATTTTTCCCAAGGACACTGCACTCACGTATAGTTTATAATAAAAATCAGCAATATAACATGTCATTAAGGGACAAATGATGCAGTAGTTACAGGTGAAATGTTCAATCCTAAGGGCAGAAGCGCCTCGGGGAGGAAGGGCAGGCCGAGAGGAGGAGACAAGAACCCTCTCCCCACGGGGAAAACAGAAGCCTCCTAGCCTGGGGAGCCCAGGGGTGGGGGTGGGCAGACAGGGTGGAAATGGGAAAGGCGCTGGCCAAGGACTCAGGGAGGCCAACTTTCAGCAGTCCAGAGGAAGGGGAAGGTGGCTGCCGAGGAGGAAGGCATGTGGAAGCTTCATTCAGAATATTCGTCCACAGGTGGGAAGGAGATAAGCGCTACAGAGACCTGTGACCCTGGCCCCTCTGTGGCCTCACGCTGAAAGCGGACAGAGCGAAGAGGAGACAGCCACAGGCCTGTGAATACAAGGTCAGAAAGGCCAAGTCGAGGCTGAGCAGAAGCTTCATGACACAACTTTAAGGCTCAAAGGGAGCTCTCCCTGTTATGTTCAAAGCGGAGTGTACACTAGGAAGACTTCCTGAATCCAGCTCTGCCTCTGTCCCTGTTCCCCCCAGGACTCCCCATGGCCGTGGATCCAAGTCCCAGCTCTCCGACTCAGGCCACAGGGCCCCCCAGGGACTGGCCCAGCGTGTCTCCCAGGCTCACCTTCCCCCTTGCCCCCTCTTGACTTTCTCACTCTGCCTATGTGGACTTTTCTTTCCATTCTCTGAACTGTGTCCTCTTCTCTCCCTGCTGGACTTTTAGACGCAGGGTCTGGAGCACCCTCCCCCCACCTGCTTGCTGCTCTAACTCCTATCACCTGCCCGGCCTCTGCATGGACACTGCATTATCATGGGACCCCTCTGGCCCACCTGTCTGTCAGCGGTCCCTCTTCTTTGCCCCACAGCACCTTGGACTTGCACAAGCCATGATCAACTCTGCATATCCCGGCTCGTTTGCAGCTCTTCAAAGGCTGGAGCTGGGTCTGTCCTGTTCCTCAGTGATTCCTCAGTGTGCCCGACACAATGTCTGGCACAGAGTGGGCTCTTAAACCTTTGTCATCAATTGGGCGCCTGGGTTGCTCAGTTGTTAAGCATCTGCCTTCGGCTCAGGTCATGATCCCAGGATCCTGGGATCAAGCCCCACATCGGGCTCCCTGTTCGGCGGGAAGTCTGCTTCTCCCTCTCCCACTCCCCCTGCTTGTGTTCCCTCTCTTGCTGTGTCTCTCTCTGTCAAATAAATAAATAAAATCTTTGGGAAAAAAACACCTTTGTCATCAAAATGAATGAGTGAATTAATCAATGGGTCTCGAGGAGAAGGACTTGCAGAAGAACAAAAACAGAGCAAACATGGGTAAGGGGAAATCAAGGTCTGTGACCAGGTGGAGACTGAAAGAAAGCACCATTACCTAGCTGCTTAAAACAGTATTGTTTCTGGTCTGAGCAGTTTCTGGATGGCAGAGAAGATCCCTAACTTCCTACCATGTTAGAAGAGTAGAAGATGAAGGGATATCAGAAGACTGAAGATGGGCAAATTTGTTCCAGTGTTCAAAAAGGGAAAGAAAGCAGATTTCTAAAACCTCAGATACTCTTGATATGCAAGTTAGGCAGGTTTCCGGAAGGCACTGTTAAAGAAAGCATTATTAAAGAAGCAGTGATTTCTTCTAATCAGTAAGGGTTTACCAAGAACAAATGTTGGCAGAGTGACAGCCTCCCCTTTCCTTCCCGCTGTGGGCTGGGAATGCAGAAGAGGGTAGGAGACATCGAGCTTAACTCGATCATGGCATCGGACAAGGTCTCCTGTGATATCCATCTTGATAAAGCCATGTGCACTGAACAATCAATCAGTTAGGCACATTTACAGCTGTCTGAGTTACTGTCACTGAAAGGTGTCAATTAATGGGTCATCATCAACCTGGAGGCAGTGATAGGCCTCAGGGCTCCATTTTTGGTCCTTTGTCACACGTTTTTATAAATACATTGGATGAGAATATGGAGCACATGCCCATCAAATTTCCAGAGCTGGAAGAGAATGTAATATTACATATGTTGCATGGAAGAATCAAAACCCAAGAAGATCTCAAGAAACAGAGACAATGAACCAAATCAAATAGTATTAAATTGAACAGGGTAAATACAAGGTTCTGTACGTTGAGTCTAAATGAGCAAACTGTGAAAGCTCTTGTTCAGCCTCTGTGAGCAGGACCTGCGGTCTTGTGGACGATTAGCAGTACTCTGCTGACCAGCATAAAAGCTAACCTCACCTCTGGCTGGACTACTGTGTCCGGTGCTTGGGGCCACCCTTGCTGGCAAAGGTGTGGGGAGGTGGGTTTGCATTCGTGAGTGTCAAACTGTACTACTTTTCAGAAGGGGAACTCGAGAAAACTTATCAAAAGTCTTAAAAATGTACATGTCTCTTGACTCCACAAAGGCACTTCCAGGACCCTCTTCATCCTTGGGGAATACTCACGGACGAGTACAGAGATTTGGCTAAGAGCTAGTTTATCACAGCTTAAAATAACCAAAATTTGAAACAGAAGAAGTTGTTGCATAATAAATTGGTTTGTAAACTAACTGCCAGAAGCCCTCATACAATAGAGAGAGCAGAATATTTAATGCAACAGAAAAGGTGCAAGGTACATCGCTAGGTGAAACATAGCAGAATATCCCATCTTTCCATTTTTGGAAAAATGATTTTTAAATTTGAAAAATGTAGGGCTCTTCACATAGATTATCTATTTAGTTCACACACACACACACACACACACACACACACACACACACAAAACCCAAGGGAAGATATATTTATTTCTATTTTGCAGATTTGGAAACCCAGTCTCAGAGAAGTGGAAGAACTTGGAAGAGGCAGGGCCGGCATCAACAAGGACAGGTTCCAAAGCCTGAAGCTTACACCTTCCTCACCACCTTAGTGAAGCTGCCCTAACTGTTCCATGTTTGGTGTTTTTGCCTCTGCCTCTCTGTCTCTCTAGAGCTGTTGGCAGCAAAAGCCCTAAACAAAAGGGTCTGTGTTCATTTCTCCCTCTGAGCCTCTGCACCCCTCCTATGCCAGGACTGAGTCTGTGTTTTATGTGGATAGTCTATGATTTATGTTTATAGCCCCCAAACCTAACTTGGTGTCTAGCACATAGTAGGTGCTCAGTAAATGCTGCGTGACAATCCCACCACTTGAGTGGCCCCCTCCCGACCTGGTCTGCTCTGCCCCTGGGATCCCTGTGTCCCCACAGTCCAGTCTCATGACAGCTCGCTCACACGGACCTGATTTAGAATCACACGGGGACAGTTTTCTTTCTCTTCACAAGCTGCTCAGCAGACTGTTGTGCTTCCCTGTTCTAGCAGGTGGTCTGCAGTGAGGGGAAAACAACCTCAAAAGCTAGAAGGTAGCCAAGAGGCGAAGCTGCTCCTCTGGGACTGTCTCCCTCGAGGGTCCCCTCAGCATCTCTCTCTGGTGTGATTTATAGTTCAAGCCTGCCTGGCTTTTCAATGAACCCTTTTGTCTCCCCTTGAGATCCCCCCACACAGAAAGAGGGGGTTGGACTTTGTTTCCCAAGCAGAGCAGCGGCTGAGACAAGCCACAAAGCAACTTGAAGCTGTCAAGTCAACAATGCTGTTCTGCAGCACTTTAGGTGGATTTAAATCTGCTTTTTTGGAGTCAGAACGAAATGAGAAGTGACAGAGGTGAAGGCAGGGGTGGGGCTGCTGGCCCGGAGTGGGGCCTCCATGGGTCCCCACGCTGGCTGGGAAGAAGACTTCTACTGTGGAGCCAGGCTCTCCTGGAATGTCCCTGCCAGGAGAAATTCTAGACCTTCCTCAGCTGCTTGCTGATAATCTGTGGCTAGGCTCGAGCGTGTCAGCTGTACCAGAGCCAAAGTCACTGTGGTTTCCTGGGGTCACAACCACTTTCTGCTCTGAGAAGTTCAATCAAATTGTTCTGGCTCTTTCAGCACGTACTACATCTGGTCCTCACAGAAGACTTCACAGAGTTACAAACACAGCTCTACCTCCGCCCCTCAAGGTGGCCAAAACCCAAAGACATAATGAGTGCAAGGAATTTGTTCACTTGCTCATCTCCCTGGCCACCCTCAGGCAAATATGAGCGCAGAGATGTTAGCTCCCCAACCTGTCCTTCTGAAGGAGATAAGGATTTGACTTCAGAGTTCCCTCCAGCTCCCCTTTCTTTGCCCTTCTCCTCTCTCAGGGCACCCTCTTCCCATGGCCCAGTCCCCTGTCTCCCTCTTGGACTTCAGTTTCCTCAAGTGGAAAATGGAAAGGGTAACATCTATCTCCTGGAATGATGGAGCAAATGAAGTAATGGAAATGAAATGGAAATGCTCCATAAATTGTAAATCGGGGCCGGCAAACTAATGCTGGTTTTTGTGCGCCCCACCAGCTAAGAATGATTTTGACATTTTTCTTAAATTTTTATTATTTTTTTAAGTAAACTCCATCCCCAATATGGGGCTCAAACTCAGGATCCTGAGATCAAGAGTCGTGTGCTCTACTGACTGAACCAGCCAGGCATCCCTTGACATTTTTCAGTGGTTGCAAAAAAAGCCAAAGAATAATATTCTATGACTGAAGAAAACTACATGAAATTCAAATTTCAATGCCTATAAATAAAGTTTTATTGGAACACAGCCACACCTGTTCATGTACAGACTGTCTATGGCTGCTATTTCTATGATGGCAGCCTCGAGTAAGTTGCCACAGAAACCTTTAGACTTACAAAGCCTAAAATATTTACTATCTGGCCCTCCTCAGAAAAAGTTTGCCAACCCCTGCTGTAAAGGACTGCAAAAGTAATAGTTCTTATGATCTCTCTTACCCTTCTCCATCAGAACTTGTTCCCAGGATGAAGTCTGTCATATTGGAAGGAGATGAACCATCCACCTCACAAATCAATGCTTATTGAAGGGATGATTGAATTTATGCCAGCTTCAAGACATTTTCATTTCAGTGCAAAGTTTAAGCCCTAAAAGGAAGGCCTCTCAGATGGTGAGACTTCAAACAATAGTTGGAGAAATATGTTGGAGTGAGGGCTTCAAATGACATTAAGCAGCCGCCTATAATAATCCGCATACACACAGATATTCACACAAGAAAGCTTGGCATAGAGAAAATAATTTAACGAAAAACACTCCCGCGGTGGAAAAATTCTAGCAGCATCTCTAGTCAACTTCATGTTATCTTGACTTGGTTGATATACAATTAATTAAATTAAAAATGACTTCTGTTTAGTAGTATTTCTGATCCTCGGGAATCTGGGCCTGTTGCCTTTTACCTGGGCCTCTCACTCGCTCTCCCGGCTCCGCTCCAGTCCAGACCCCCTCTCTTGAGCTCCAGACCCTTAGAACCAACTGCCTGCGGGGCATCCGCACCCCAGACCCCGTGGTACCTCCACTCCACCTCTCGTACTGCCTCATCACAGCCTCCACCTGGAATCGCACCGCCCACCCTGGTCGCCACGCCCAACACCCGACTCCTCCCACCTCCCTCCCAACCAATCGTCAGGCTCTCTTATTTCTACCTAGGTGCCACCCCTGGCCCGCCACTCAGGCCCCCCACGACCCCCGCCAGCGCACGGCAGGAGCACTCTCGTCCGGTTCCAGTCCACTCTCCTCACAGCTGCCAGAGAGTAGTCCTTTTCGAAGGGCCGGTCTCTCGCGGTCACCCTCCTGTGGTCCGCCATTGCTTAATCCTTTAGTGTATGAAGCCCTCATAATCCCGCCCTAACTGCCCCTCTGATCTTAGTTCTCCATGCTTTCTGCCTTGAAATCTAAATTCAATGGAATTGAGACACTGAAACAGTCCAAAGACCATGCTTCCCTGACACCGAGACTAGTCCTACTTCAGGACCCAGCTCAGGTACCCCTTCCTCCAGGAAGCCTTCCCTGATAACTCCTGGGCTAGGTGAGGGCTCCTCCTGGGCTTTGTGTGTTTGTTTGTTCATCTTCCCCAGTGATGGCAGAAGCTCCTTCACTGTCCCTAAGGAGTAGGAACAGTGCCTGGCACACAGTAAGTACTCAAGAAATGTTGGTGGAATGAACAAAGGGAAGGAGCAAAGAACTCTAGCCTCAAGTCATGATGTCATACTGCCTATTTGGTGTCCCAGACCTGTCCCAGACCTGTCCACTGCTCATTGCAATTTCTCCAGTGCCCATCCCTCTCCGCCAGAGGAAGCTCCGTCTCTTTTCGGCCCTAAGGGCTAGCCACAAACTTTAAACTTGTTCAAATAGTAAAAGCAAGCTCTTAGAGCCTCCATGTACAAAGCGTGGTCCCAGACCTGCAGCCTCAGCATCACCTGGGAACTTATCAGGAATGTAAATTATCCGGCCCCACTCCAGCCTACTGAATCAGAATCTGGGTTGGAAGGTAGGACAATCTATGTTTTAACAAGTCCTCCAGGTGATTCTTAAAGTTTGAGCACTCAGGGCCGGGGTCCTGACAGTGTTGAGCTGAGCACCCTGTAAATATATCATCTCATTTAATCCCCACAACAGCACTGCCAAGTAGATGTTATTATGAGTACTCCCAAGTAAGAAAACGGAGGTCACTCAGTAACTCTGGCAGCTGGGCAGTCTGCCTCCAAGGCCTCCACCACTGCACTAAGCTGCCTCAGCCATAAACAGATGTTAGCAGACTCTGGTCACAAGACTGGAAACAGCCCCTTGGTCTCATTTCCCTCTTAATTGTGTGTGTGTGTGTGTGTGTGTGTGTGTGTGTGTGTGTGTGTGTGTGTGTTGGAGGGATGGGAAGGGTGGACGAGGGCATTGGCGGACGGTCTCACAGTTGCCTGTGAGCCTTTTGGGCAATACTTAACTTCTCTAGGCTTCAGTGTCTTCAGAATGAATTAGATGGCTCTCAAATTCGTTCATTCGTTCCTGCCAGAGTTAAAACTACTGGATGCCACAGGACACTTGCCCCTGCTCCAGCCCCGACTTTCCACATCCCCCAGTGACCCTGGAGCCTTCAGGGATTGAAAAAATTCTCCATCTCAGCCGAGCATGGAGCAGAGGACGGTGAGACCCACAAGGGGACTGAAGAAAAGATGCTCCTACTCCCAACACAGACATCTCACAGACACTGGGACCATTGTTGGCTTTGATTCAAAAACCCCGCGAAGAAGCTCTTTACCCCGCAAAGCATCTGCTCCCCTAAAACAGCCTCCCAGACATTCGGAGTCATGACAAAGGACATGAGCGCAGAGATCGGCACCGGCCCTGGTGATCTGGGTGAAGGAGACCACGGGTGTTATATCCCACCCGCCCCCCGAGCAAAGGGCTGTCCAGGATGCCCCATGGCCAGAAGTGCCTTTTCCCGGAAGGCAGCAGCGTGCTTGCAGGCACCACTGCCCACCGATGCCTTCACGCGTGGTCTGGGCCAGCGTCACAGAAGCCAGGCCAATCTGGAGGCGCCTCCCGCACCCAGGGGGCCAGGCGGCCTCGGAAAGGAAGGGCTGTCAGAAGCGGTGCAGTACTCACCGAGTGTACGAGAAGTCCTTCTCCCAGGGACTGAGGGCTGCTGTGTCTTTGGCACAAATACCAGAGCAATATAAAACCCCAGAGGCGGATCTTCTTTAAACAGAGTCCCTAAAAAGGCCAGCTGACGGTGTGTTAACAATATTACCATATAAGGTGGTTTTTTCAATAAATCGGCCTTGGGGGGTGGGGAAGGGGGCTGGGTAGAGTGAATTATCATTTGAAAAATGTATGCAAAAGGACTCCAGTGGCAACAGCCCTGGTGCTGGAGGATTTGTTCCTTTTTTGCTGCACTTGCATCAACAAAACTCACACCAGGCCTTATAAGCTGCCCAGAGTGAGGCCAGATGCAGCTCTGCTCCTGGAGAGAGAACCATACCAAGAATGGCAGTGGGCCTCCTCCCTCCACACCTCCCTCCTCAGGCCCTGCTGCCTGCAGCCCCCCCCCCCCACCCTGGGGTCGGCCTGGGACAACCACGCTGTGCCCCAAAGTGAGTGCCATTGTGCCTGGGCTGGTACCAGCCCAGGACAGCTAAAAGCTGAAGGGAAATTGCCATCTATAGCTGAGAAAGAAATCCCATGTGCCCCACTCACCCGCTGCCCCTCACACAAGCTTCTAAATGCTGGGCCGAGTCCAACCTGGACACCTTAAGCCACCTCTGGAACTTCACTGTCCCCTGCCGTTTTCCTTTCCTTACTGGATTCCCTCTGCCAGTTCCTAAGTTTTGGGAATTACAGACCAAGGGAGCTGCCTTAACACACCTAACAAGACTCACAAGCTTGTAGAGTGTTCCACAGTCCTGTGGTTCTTGCTCTTCTTTTCATAATTCGTGCACACTCTCTGGGCTACTGTTTCATTTCCCACACTATCAGCCACCAGCTCTGTGGCAAGTACTCTCAGCTCCACATTCCCACAGTCCTCACACCTGATGCCTAATCCAGACTGAAATTACCAAGTCAAGTGCCTTTTGGACATCTCCACCCAGATGACCCTCCAAACCTGAACCTTTGTCCCCTCCCCTCAACGCTACTGTGCCTCCTGGGTTCCCTACCTGAGAGTCTTTCCCTTTGGCCTTTCAGGCTAGAAACCCCAAGTCAGTCTAGACCCCTCCCTCTCCCTCATGCTCCGCAACCAGCTGGGCTCCCTTCCTGGTGGCCCTCCCCTCCGAGATGCCCCTCAGCTCTGCAGCCTCCCTTCCACCCCGGCTAGCCCCACTCTGCTTCAGACTCTGGTCCTGACACGGCTTCCTGACTGACCTTCCTGACTCTGCCCCATCCAGTGATTCCCAAGTGTGGTCCCCAGCCTGAGCGGAAGGCAGCACCCACATGCTTCATTCTGGTGAAGAATGCACATTCTCATGCTTCACCCAGGTGGATGGAATCAGAAACTCCGGGGGTGCCCAGGATACCTACCCTTCACCAGAAGAAGCATGCATTGAATATCTGCTTAAGGTGTCCTGGGAAACCCCCACCTCCACCCGTGATTCAGCCCAAGACTAAGGAGCTTGTGTGGGGGGCAGCAGGTGAACAGGGCATGTGGGATTTCTTTTCTAGGTATAAATGGTATTTCCCTTCAGCTTTGAGCTGTCCACACAGGCACAACTGCACCCACACTGGGGACCCTGCATGGGAGTTCCACATGGTTTTGGTGTCCCGGTGCAATGGCCTGGTGCGGGGCCGTCTTCCTCATGAAATGGGGATTACCAGGAGTACGGATAAGGAGTGAGAGAAACCGGAGGATAGGTTAGGGAAGGCTTCAGGCGAGGACTTGTGATCATCCCCCTGGGGAAGGGACACTGTAGCCATCGTGGGGTATACTTACCTTTTGACAACTGACCTGAGTGCTTAGTGTGAAGTCTAAATTCCAGGCCTCATGGGAAGCTTCCCGGAGCCTTTCAGGTCCCTGTGAAAGCCCTCACTAGCTGGTGGGGCATGCAAAGCCGCGGATAAAGTGGGAGCTGTCCAGCAGGGACAGAATGCTGTCAGTCCTCACTGGCCAAGGCAACGAAGAGCTAGTGCCCGGGGCCTTGTGCTCTTCCTCTGAGTCTCCCTCCACGGGTGGGGATAGGGTGCCAGTCTCTCTCACCCAGATCAGGAATCTAAAGGGGCATCGTGGGACGCCTGGGTGGCTCAGTCGGTTAAGCATCTGCCTTTGGCTCAGGTCATGATCCCAGGGTCCTGGGATCGAGCCCCACATCGGGCTCCCTGCTCAGTGGGGAGTCTGCTTCTCCCTCTCCCTCTGCCCCTCCCCCTGCTTGTGTTCTCTCTCTCTCTGACAAATAAATAAATAAAATCTTTAAAAAAATAAAATAAAATAAAGGGGGCATTCTTTCCCTTCACAGCGTGGGGTTGGCTCCATTTCCTTCCAAGCATTCAGCACTGAAGCCAGGAGGTTCACACCTTGTTGGCACAGTCAGCTGATAAACAATAAAGAGCCTGTAATCAAAGGGGTTTGGTCCTGAGTCAGGGTCCAAGGAGCCCAGAAATCAGAAAGGAAAGCTATCTGAATAAAGTGAAGCTCTTAGGAAATTCTTAGGAGATGCAGTCTACCTTGACTATAACAGAGAGAAGGAGGGTGGGGGAGGCAGGTGGCAAAACCAGGTACCAGAGGTACTCAATCTTTTATACTATGAGGAAACCCACCCTTAAGATTTGTCTCCCCCTCCACCCTGTTTCAAAAATCAATCCAAAAAAAACCTCAAGAGTACAAAAATGTGTATTTTAGAAAGCAAACATCTCCTGCAGTCTCACACAAACCTCAATCGGAGATGGCCATTGTTAACAGTATGATGTGTATTCTTTCCGATTTTTTCCAGATTTTTCTACCATTTTTATATTACTTTATAAAAATGGAATTATAACATATGTTTTTACAACTGTTCTGAAAGTTGCCATGTCCTCTTAATAATATTCTTGGATGTCTTTCCAAACCAGTTCATATCATTTTTTGAACCCTTGCATAGTTTTCCATAGTTGGGATATATGATAAATTATTTAAACTATATCCTATTGATGGACTCTTGGGTCATTTCCAATTTTTTTACATATGTAAACATTGCTGTAATTAATAAAACTTTATATATGTGCTTTTGTGTGCATGTGTGAGTGTGTCTATATGATAATTTTTTTTTAAAGATTTTATTTATTTATTTGAGAGAGAGAGAGAATGAGAGTTAGAAAGCACGAGAGGGAAGAGGGTCAGAGGGAGAAGCAGACTTCCTGCTGAGCAGGGAGCCCGATGTGGGACTCGATCCCGGGACTCCAGGATCATGACCTGAGCCGAAGGCAGTCGCTTAACCAACTGAGCCACCCAGGCGCCCAATATATGATAATTTTCTTAAAGCAGAATTGTTTGATCAAGCAAGAACATTTGAGACATTGGTGGAAACTGCAAAATTGTCTTCTGAAAAGGTTGTACAAGTTTACACTCCTGCCAATAGTGTATGAGACCACCTCCTCCTTCACACACTTATGATTTTTTAGTAATGATTTTTTTCAATGATTTTTTTGTCCATTACATTTCTTTATTACATTTGGAAACATGCTAATTTTCATATGACTCATTTTTTCCCTGATTATAAAAGTAATACACACAATGGTTAAAAAAAAAGAAAAATTAGAAATAGGTGTTTGCATCTTGAGTTGTTTGCTTCAGTGGGCAGTTGCCCAACTGAGCCGTCTGGCTCTCCTTGTGCCCAAAAGAACCACGTGGCAATTAGCCATCTTTTAACTTTTTCCTAATTCAAAAGGAGAAACTTAGCACCTTCTCGTTTTATTTTTTATTTTTTCTAATTAGGTTCCATGCCCAATGTGGGGCTTGAACTCATAACCCTGAGATCAAGAGTCATATGCTTTACTGACTGAGCCAGCCAGGTACCTAGTACCTTAAATTAAAATTCAGGGGAAGCTGCGGGGCTCAGTCAGTTAAGCATCCAACTTTTGATCTCAGCTCAGGTCTTGATCTCAAGGTCGTGAGTTCAAGCCCTACACTGGACTCCACGCTGGGCGTGGTGCCTACTTAGAAAAAAAATAAAATTTAATTAAAATGTAAAATTATTTGGTAACCAATGAGAATGAACACATTTGGCATTTATTAACTTTTTTTTTGTCTTTCTCTGAGAATGGCTGGCTCATGTCTATTTTTCCATTGGATGGTTCATTTTAATCTTCTTGAATTATAAGAGTTCTTGGTATGTTCCATTAGTGATACTATTAGACTTTTGCCTATCCCAACGGTTGCAAATATGTATTTTCCTCCCAGTTTAACATTTGCCTTTTGATTTTGTCTGGGAGCATTTGCCTTATTGAAGTTTAATCAAAGGTCTTTCTTTTTTGGTGTCTGTGTTTCAAAACATTCTTAGGAATGCTAAGCACTTATTTTTTTATTCTTTATTTTATATTTAATTGTGGTAAACTACACATAACATGTACCATCTTAACCATTTTTAAGTGTACAGTTTACTAACGTTAAGTATATTCACTTTACCGTGCAAACAATGTCCAGAATGTTTTCATCTTGCAAAAATAAAACTCTGTATCCATTAAACAACAACTTTCCCCAGCCTCTGGCAACCACCGATTTTCTGTCTGTGTGACTTTGACAATCCTGGGCACCTCCTGTAAGTGGGATCATACAGTATTTGTCTTTGTGTGTCTGGCTCATTTCATTTAGCATCATGTCCTTGAAATTCATGCATGTGGTAGCATGTGTCAGACTTTCCTTCCCTTTTAAGTCTGAATAATATTCCACTGCAGGCATTTGCCATATTTATTCATTCATCCACAGAAGGACACCTGGGTTATTTCTACTTCTTGTCTGCTGTGAATACTGCTGCGAACGAATACGAACAAATACCTCTTCAAGACACTGCTTTCAAATCTTTTGGGTATATACTCAGAAGTGGCTTTCGTGGATCACGTGGTAATTCTATTTTAAGTTTTTTAGGAACCACCACACTGTTTTCCACAGCAGCTACACTTTCAGTGTATAAGTGTTTTTTTCTCTACATCCTCACTGACATTTTTTGATAGTAGCCATCCTAATGGGTGTGAGGTGGTAGCTCCGTGTGTTCCAAAAAAAAAAAAAAAAATTAAATAGACTTTATTTTTTGGAGTAGATTTAGGTTCACAGAAAAACTGAGCAAAAGTACAGAGATTTACCATACGCACCTTACCCCTCCCCCCAACGAATATCCTCCCCTACAATCAGCATCTCCAACCAGACAGGCACATTTTTTACAATCAATGAACCTACGCTGACATGTCATTATAACCCAAAGATCACAGTTTACATTACAGTGTCAGGATAGTTTTTCTGTCCTAAAAATCCTCTGTGCTCCATCCATTCATCTCTCTCCACCCACTCCAACTCCTGGCAATCACTGATTTTGTCACTGTCTCCATAATGTTGATTTTCCAGAATGTCATATAGTTGGCATCACACAGTATGTAGCCTTTTTATTTTTACTTTTTGTAGGCTTTTTAGATTGGCTTTTTTTCACTTAGTCATATGCATTTAAGTTTCCTTTCGTGTCTTTTTATGGTTTGATAGCTCATTTCTTTTTAGTCCTGAAAAATAGTCCATTGTCTGGATGTACTAGTTTATGTATCCATTCACCCACTGCTTCCAAGTTTTGACAATTATGAATAAAGCTTCTCCAAACATCCTTGAGCAGGTATCTGTGTCGATGTGAATTTTCAACACATGTATATACCAAAGAGTGTGACTGCTGGGTAATACGTGAGGGTATGCTTCGTTTTGCAAGAAACCTCCAAACTGGCTTCCAAAATTGGTGTACCATCTTGCATTTCCACCAGCAATGCTACTCCACATCACTGTGGTTTTGATTTGTATTTGTGTGCTTATTTTTATTTTTATTTATTTATTTTATATATATAGAGAGAGATAGAGAGCACATGCGAGCAGGATGGGGGACAGAGGGAGAGGGAGAGAGAGAATTTTAAGCAGGCTCCACAGCCCACGTGGAGCCTGAGGTGGGGTTGGATCTCATGACCCTGAGATCATGACCTGAGCTGAAATCAAGAGTCGGAGGCTTAACGGACTGAGCCACCCAGGGCCCCTGAGCATTTCTTTTTAATGTCAAAAAATCTCTTCCACTTGACAGTTGATCTTTTAATTTCTTTGAGGGAAGGCAACAGCTAATATCATTTATTCACTCTTTTTGCCATTTTATTTTTGACAAAATAGAAATTCAGTTATTTTCTTCTGATTTAAAAGGAATACTCACTCAAAACACTTCAGGAAAAAAAGTATGAAGTGGAAAATAAAAATCCCCAGCATGCAGAAAGTCACTATGAATTAAACTCTGCAGATATTTTCAATACAAATACACATTTAGAAAAATGGTATTGTCCTGCATACACAGCTTTATAACTACATAATTTATTTCACTTTATTATCTTTCATTTACCACTAGAACGTTAGCTCCAGGAAGGCAGGAGTTGCTTTTACTTTTTTTTCCCCTCACTGCTGTATCCCTTTGTGACTAGGGGAGGCCCTGACATATGTGGGCACTCAATATCAGTTACATGAAGAAATCAAGAAATCCCATTTTTATCACCTAACACAATGTCTTGGAATTTCTTTTTTCTGAGTCCATAAATGTATATTTTCACCAACATCTATTTTATTGGTCGCATATATTTCATTTTTTTTTCATTTTAAACTTTTTAAAAAGATTCTATTCATTTATTTAAGAGAGAGAGCAGGGTGGGGGGAAGGGCAGAGGGAGAAGCAAACACGCCGCTGATCAGGCAGCCCCTCTCAGGGCTCAATCCCAGGACACAGGACCTAGGACCCTAGGACCCTGGGATCACGACCTGAGCCAAAGGCAGATGCTTAACTGACTGAGCCACCCAGGTGCCCGGGATTGCATATATTTCAATGTATTTATTGAACCAGTGCTTTACTGACTGGCTATCTAACTGGCTTCCAGTTTGTCACTATTATAAACAATACTGTAATGAATATGTTTTCACTTATGTTTGTGAACCTCTGGGATTATCTCTCCTTAGATCATTCCAAAAAGAGAAATCTCTTGGTCAAGTAGAATGCACATTTTAATTATAAATCATTTCACTAAGCCAGACCTCCAGAATGTAATTGCAATTTATTCTTCCACTCAAGTACAAGATTGCTACTTTCCTTACAACCTAGCTAGAGA